GTTGGGCTGGTAGGACCAAGGGGGCACAGGGCATGTGCCAGCTGACAGAACTGGTATTGGGGCAGTTTCCACGTCTCTCCCCAGGCTTCCGGTTGCTTGATCTTTGGAGTCCATTAGCTTCAAGACACAGCTTTCCAAACTCTGGCTCAGTGTGAGGCAGAGATGTTAAGTTCTCCCCTGCACTCCTGTCTGTGTCTCTTCTCCTCTTCTTAGAGGGACATTGGTCACATTGAAAGGCCCACCCTTCTCCAGTATGACCTCATCTTAACTTACATCATGGTTACATTTGCAAAGACCCCATTCCCAAATAAGGTCACATTCACAGAGATCTGGGCTTAGGACCCAGCAGGTCTTTTGGAAGACACAATTTATCCCACAAAAGACATCACCGCCAGCAATGGTGACAGCATCTGCCTCACCTTCAGTCCTTCAATGCAGTCCCCAGGCCCTTGGCACAGACACGATTGTCCTTGGGCTCAATCATGAGTGGGTTCAGGTTGAGCATGAGCTTCTTCAGCAGGTGTAGGCCTTCAGCAGAGTTCAGGGTCACTGATAGCACTTCTGGGGTTGCCAGCAGTGTGGGACAGTACCAGTGCCAGCCAGAGGAAGCAAGAAGGAAAACAATGTTGACCAAGAAGGGTAGATCTTGGTGTACACATCTGAGACCCTGGGGTCTCTCTGGATTTTCTAGGAGGAATCTAAGACAGGTCTCAGAGTTCCCATGTAGTGGATAGGGTAGAACAAGGGACCACTGTCTCTCCCTGTTCTCCTCGTCCCTGAGTAGAAGCCAGAATGGCCTGAGAAACATGTCACACCATAACTGCTCCTCCCAATAATTCCCTTTTCTCTGGCTCTGCCATTTAGCTAGAGCTACTCTTAGAAAACATTGTATCTCAGATTGCACAGAGGGTGGGATTTCTTCAGCTGTTGGCACCAAGGTGGGTGCAGTGCAGCCAAAAACAGGGCAGAATGAGGTCAGATAGCAAAGGGTGCGTGGACAGGATGCCAGGGCTTTGGGCATGGATAGATGCCCTGTTAGAGAGCAGCCAAATGAACAGTGGGAATCATCTAACCCCAGCGGAGATGCAAACCAGAACCAGAGCCCAAGATGAGGGCCCTCAGTTGTTAATGTGGAGGCCAGGCTGAGATTCGAGATGGGAGGCTGCAGGGGGGCTGCGGGAATGATCTGCCCCCACAGTGGGATACCGAGAGGAAGCCCAAGCCCCTGGCCCTTGGGTGTACTTTTGCTCAGCTTAAAGAAGCTCTACTCTGCATCTGCTTCTTGACACAAAGCTGGCCTCACACACAGGCCTTAGTCCAGTCCACCCAGCATATACACACAGCATGAACCACCATGTGTAGCTAAGGTAGGCCTTCTGCCCAGTTCCTCATTGCCCCCAATCTCCAGCCATATGAGCAAGCTGCTTTCTGCCATGGCATCCCCACATCACAGCCCTGGACCTTTCCAAATCATGGCCCCTTTTCCCAGCTCCTTCCACTTCCAGCAAAAAGATGTGGGGAAGTTCTCTTGCTTTCTCATGCCACTCTAGGTCTGCCCCTGCCCCTTGTCATAAAATCCCCTCCATTGGCCCTGCCCTGATAGCACTGAGGACATACACAAGGGTTTCGGACACTAGCAGGGTCCTCCCTACTCTCAGGTCCCTAAGCTCATGAAGGGAGGAGTTTATTATCCCCACTCCTTAGGAGCTAACCTGGGAGGAGGGTGCAGGGAGCAGAGCCCCTTCTTAAGGACCCTCAGCAGCTCTCGGATTCTTTCTGTGGAGCAGTTTCACTGTGCACAGGTATCAACCCCAGGGAAGGACTCCACACACTTCACCAATAACCACACACCTGTAGCAATCCACCTGCACAAGTGCAGTGAGACGGAGCACTCACATAACCAGTTAAGTGAAGTGATCCTCCAAGGCTCAAGAGATGGAGTCCCATTTACATGTGCCTTATGTTGCACCATAGCTAAGGGACCCTGAAAACACACTCTGCCTTAGGTTTTATGGCCTGGGGACCCATGGATCGCTGGGCTAAAGGGTTGCAGGACCTCCCGTTGTGGGGGTGATGGGAACAGAGCCCGGGCTATCACAGCCAGCTCCTCCTTCTCTCAGAGTGCTGCATTGCCAGCACATTCTATGGTTATTCTGAGAATTTCAAGCAAGTAATGGGGGAAGAGCTGGTTATCCAAGGCCATCTGGGGACTTGTCCTGCACTTTCCTCCTCTGCAACTTCTATTCTTCCATTTCCCAAAGTCTTGGGATCTTAACTTATCTCAACAGTAGGCACAGAAATTACATATTTGTTTAAACTTATTGCTTAGGTCAAGATCTTGGCTCCTGAAGTTCAAATGACCCTAGCTTTTGCAAACAAAGAAAGCTTTTTCCCCCAAACATATCATGGACTTCAAAAGTATATTTTGAATTCACAAAGCTGAGTCTCGTCATCTTTTTTCTGTGTCTTTGCCTACCTATTTCAGTTTAATTGCCCTTACCCCATCCCTAACCTGCCACACACAATACACAAACATATTTGCTCTCACAGTCTATGCTCCAACAATTTTGAGCATATTTCCTGAATATGTCATTGTCCTCTTGCTCTTGTAAACACTGCAGCTATCTTCTGAGATGCTATTTCCCCCATGTGCAGCTAATGAATTCCTATGCATTCCCCATGCAATGGCTGGGGCCCCCAGATCCTCTGTTCCTGTCAGAGGCCCAGCATATTTCCATGATACATCACGAAAATGCTCAGGCCAGTTTCTATACTGTGTCAATCATCATGGTGCCCCAGGGCTGACTTCCCATTACTTGGCTCTGACTTTAATGGAAAGAGGGCTGTGATGACAGTGAGAGGTATAGTTCTTCCCTTCTGTGACAGGCACAGCAGCCGACCAGCAGAGCTGTACTTGAGTGGCTCAGTCATCTCAAGCAGAGGTAGATGACTCGTTTTCTTGGGCCATGACCTCCTTTCCTTCTTTGAGTCACATGGCAGGGTGAGTTACTTCCCTGGGTAGTCAAATATGTTACTTAGGATTGTGCTAGTTTGTGTATCAAATAAATCCCAAAATAAAACAAGTCAACTCAATAGAGGTCTATTCTTACTCACTGTTTTAGTCCATTTGGGCTTCTATAACAAAACACATATATTGAGTGGCTTATAAAGAACACAAATTTATTTCTCCAGTTCTGGAGGCTGGGAATTCCAAGGTCAAGGGCACCAGCAGATTAGCTATCTGGTGAGGGCTTGTTTTATGTTTCACAGACGATGCCTTCTACCTGTGTCTTCACATAGTCGAAGGGGGAATGAGCTCTTGGCCCTATTTTATAAAAGGACCAGTCCCATTCCTGAGGGCACCACCCTCGTGACTTAATTCTCTCCCGAAAACCTCATCTCCTGATACCATCACCTGGGAGGTTAGGATTTTAACATATGAATTTGAGGAGGGCACAAACATTCTGATCATAGTACTCACCTATAAGTCAAGTATTAAAACCAGAAGGGTGAGTCTCTTCCATGTGATCATTCAGGGTCCCAGGCTTCACTTCTCTGTGTCCCTGCTTCGGGGTTGTTGCCATCTGCATTGAGCTGGTGGAAAGAGAAAGAGATCCTGGAAGAAGCACATCCATTTCTAAGAAGCTTGACTCAGACATGGTCCAAATCACTTCCTCTCACTTCTGTTGGTGACATCTAGTCACATGGCCACATCTGGCTTCTAGGAGTGGGAAATATGGTCTAACCACGTGCCTGGCCACATTCCTATTACCACAGAAGAAGAGAACAGATTAGAGCAGGCAGCTGGCAGAATGTGCTACAAATCAACCTACTTGGCAGCTGTGCTGGGGAAAGGAAGCATTCCGTCTCCCCAGTGGTTCACTTTCCTCCACGCTTTCCCCCCCATGAAATGGTGCATTCCCTCTCAAGACCTCCCTGTACCAATCTCTATCGCCGCTCCCAGCTCTGTTCATACCCTTCAGCCTTCCCTTAGGGGAATGTATTTTTGGTTAAAGCAAACACATCTAGTAGATACTTGAAACAGACTGGTTTAAAAACCTGCTTGTGTTTATTCCCATCACCGGAGTAGCCTAGGAAGGACCTCCATGCTGTCCATTCAATTCCATGAGCATTTATATGGTCTCTCCAGTGTGCTGGGCGCTATCATCAATAAACCATCATGCCACCCTGCACGGTGACCAGGAGGCTTATCAGTGTGAGACTTGGTTCAGTGTGAACTCTTCAGCTCATGAAACTGACAGTACCTTTGGGTTGTAGGCCCGTGTGGTCAGGCCTCAGGTGCTTGGGTGTTAGTTTTTACTTCTTTGAAAAAAAAAAAAATCTATGTTTTCCTCCATGATGGTTAATCCCCAAATAGTCAGGCTTACTTCTGTCCCAGATCCTAACCACCTACTGGGTTTTCTTCGTGGGCTTAAGGTTAAGTCCCTGATCCGGTTTCATGCAGCTTTCATTGATGTTTCATTTGCTATCCACCACAGCAAGATTACTTTTTTCAAAAGACAGAAATCTCAGCAGATGTATTCATTCTGGGATGTTTCCTGGACTCACACCAGTGAGCTCATTAGCCCAGGCTAACTATGGGCCTTTGGAGGCTTTTTCTTTCCTTCTTTTTTAAGTTTGTAGCAAAAAGTGGGATCATGTGATCTGTGCATAGCAGCTCTCCTTCCTGTATGTTCAGTGAGCAGTGACTGAAACTCCCCCCAAGAAGGAAGGCTGTGCTTTCTAAACATGCGTACATCTTAGCAGTGTCTGCTTTTGTTTAGTGGAGACTGAAGCTGAAACCGGAAATTGCTAGGTCAGCTATACCACTCGAATAAAAAAAAAGTCTAGCCAAAAAGAACAGCAAAACTATGGCCTGGGCTTTTTGGAGTGTCTTGTCTGATTACCCAATTATTGCAGCTCAGATTAGGAAGGGATTAACCCCTGAGGTTGGACAGATGGAGAACACTATTAAAATACCCCATGTGGGGTTTCGGAGTGAGCAGAAAAGTGACCACCTGTTCCTGTTTCTTGGGTCAGTCTGCCCTCATTTAGAGTCTGAAGATCACTGTCTCTGATGTCCGTGTGTGAAGAAACTGAATAGCACAGGAAGCAAGCAGAGGCCCCACCCTGTCTGGCCCAGAAGCACTGCTCTCCTGAGTCTCTGTCCCAACCTGGAGCCCTGCCCTAGACTGACCTGGTAAGGAATATTCATCTGAATTACAAGTGATTTTAGGGTTGTTATCTCCCAGGGCCCTTGGGAACAGTCTGAGGACACTTTATGAGACTGTCACAGACAGAAAGGTTTCCATTTCAGACCTCCCTTTTCCTTTGATAACTATTGAAGAAGTTGGTACCTCCTCCTTTCTTGAACCTCTGCATTTCAGAGGCTCCATTGGGGCTGTTTCCTTTTAAGCATTCTCAGAAGCTGCAGAAGAGTGAAGTGAGATCTTTGGCTTTGGGCCTTTTTGTCCCTGCATTTCTCTAGGCAGGGAGGCTGAGTGAGTGTGCCTCATGTTCCAGCCTTGAATTCACAAGCAGGAAGGTACTGTAAGCAGTCCACTCAATAATTAATAAGCCACTTAGTTCTGCTTCAAGTCCTTTATCTTACGGATAAAGGATGTGTTCAGGAACATTAATGGTTGATGAGAAAACATTATGCCAAATAAAATATGTTGGGCAATCTTGAAATTGCCGTGATTTAGCTGGGTGAGTATTTCTTCCTTATGTATCTAACTTGTGTCAATTCGAGAAAAGCATACTGAGCACATTGAATGCCCACTTCATCCCCAGCACCACGGAAACATAGAATCTCGAGGTTGGCAGGGTCTTCGGTCCCAAAATTGTGTAAGCAGCCAGCCATTCATGATTGGAATGCTTCCAGGAAAAGCACCTCACTCATCCAGAGGCAGCTTACTCCATGTCCCAACAATCCCACTAGAGATTTTTTTTAGGGCTGTTTTTTTTTTTTTTAATCTTCACAGCTTCTATCCCTGAGTTCTAGTTATACTCCTGTATTGAGCAACTTTTGTGGGCTAGGTGAGGTTCCAGGTGGTTTTCGTACATTCAGTTATTTAATCCCCAGAGTCATCATATGAGGTGGGGGCTCCCCATTTTACAGATCAGGAAACTGGCACAAAGAAATTAAATGATTTGCTCAAGATCAGTAACTAGTGAGTGACAAAGCACTCTGGCTCCATTAGTATATCTTCTTCTTCTCTTTTTTTTTTTTTTTTTTTGAGATGGTGTCTCACTCTGTTGCCCAGGCTGGAGTACAGTGGTGTGATCTCAGATCACTGAAGCCTCTGTCTCCCAGGTTCAAGCGATTCTCATGCCTCAGCCTCCTGAGTAGCTGCGATTACAGGTGCCTGCCACCACACCTGGCTAATTTTTATATTTTTAGTAGAGATGGGGTTTCACCATGTTGGTCAAGATGGTCTTGAACTCCTAGCCTCAAGTGATCTGCTTGCCTCAGTTTCCCAAAGTGCTGGGATTACAGGTGTGAGCCACTGCACCCGGCCTCATAATATATTTTCTTAATCACTGTTTTGATTATCTGTTACTGAGTAATATACTACTCCAAAACTTAATGGCTTAAAATAATGATTATTTTATTTTCTCACAATTCTGTGGGTCACATATTTTGGCAGGGCTAAGCTGGGTGAATCTTCTGCTCCACATGGCATCAACTGAGGTCTTTCATGGATTGTAGCATGATGGCCACTAGGACTGGGATGTCCAGCATAGTGTCACTCACACATCTGGCAAGGACAGTTGGGAGGTTCCATGTGGCTCACACCAAAGAACTAGCTTGAGCTTCTTTTCCTGACAGCTGGACCCCAAAAGCAAGCATTTTAATCAGCAAAGGTGAGTGCTGCATAACTGTTCAGACTCATCTTCAGAAGTTATACACATTACATTCACATATTCTGTTGGTCAAAAGAAGTCACAGTGTAGATTCCAGCAGAGGGCAATTAAGTTCTGCCTCTTTACTGGAGAACAAAAAGGAGCATGTAAGATGGAATGTATTGTTGCATCCATGTGTAGAAACTCCAGCAACCAAGAGCCACAACGCCCATTCTGCCCATCTAGAAAACAAACTGATGCACCCTCCAGATAACATCTATCCAGGTACTTAAAACTAGCTCTCAGGCATCTTTGTCCTGCTCTTCAAGCTTCTTCTTTCTTTAAGTGTTTCTTATAAAGTGTGGAATGGTACTGTCCCTCTCCTCTGATGTGTCCCAGAACTAAATGTCATACTCCAAGGTATGCCTGGCCTGGTGAGAACAGAAGGCCCATCATCTCCTGTCTTTAAATATGGTGATGGAATCAACAGGAATTCTTGACCAGCACACAGAAATTCTGTTACTTGAAACTCCGATGCCCCCACACCCTGTAATTGTGCAGTTGTTTTGAAAGACCAAAGTTAAATTATATTTTATGAAATTTGACCTAGCACTCTCATTCATTGATTTCATCTTCCACTGCATTCACGGTCCACTCAGCTTTCAGTCAAACCTACATTTGACTCATGACTTAACTCCTCCTTCCACAGCTTCTTCCAAGTCATTGATAAAACTGCTGGCCTATTCATCTACAAGAAGATAGCTCTGAGGAACACCATGGAACACCTGTCTCTGTTTTAAAATCCACTGATCTGTAACCTACATAAACTGATAAGGCAGAATTGTTTAGACAATTCTGGATCCACAACTTGTCTATGTATCCAGCCCACGTTTTTACAGCCTGACTCAGGAGCATCGAAAGAACCATCACCAGCACTGTGCTCACCCATGATCTTGGCAGCAAAAGAAATTAGGTTAGGCTGAATTTGTCTTGTTTTGGTTTGTTTTAGAGACAGGGTCTCACTTTGTCACCCAGGCCAGAGTGCAGTGGCAAGATCATTGTTCACTGCAGCCTCCAACTCCTGAGCTCAAGTGATCCTCCTGCCTCAGCCTCCTGAGTATCAGAGACTATAGGCATGCAATATCATGCCCAGCTAATTTTTTAAATTTGTGTTTTCGTACAGACAGGGTCTCCCTAAGTTGCCCAGGCTGGCCTCAAATTCCTGGGCTCAAGTCATCCTCCCGCCTCAGCCTCCCAAAGTGTTGGGATTATAGGTGTGAGCCACTGCATCCGGCCAGGAAGCTCTTCCTGAGGCCCTGCTGACTCCTGGCAATCGCAACTTCCCTTCTCAAGTAATTTCTTTAACACCCCATGCTGGAAGGTCACCCCGTCTCATGCCCTTTCTCCCTCAACACTGTTCACCCATTTGCAGCTTTCTTTTCTCCAGAGTTCTCCAGAGATAACCTCAGTGATGCAGGCACCGAATCAGTTATAACGGCAGGATCTTAGAACCTAATCCTTTTTTGAATCTGGGTCAGGAGACATGAAATCAGAGCAGCAGGGGCTGCCCACTCTTTTCAAGAAACATGGGCTTCTGCTCCCCTTCACTATTTATTTTACAGCAAGCAAAAGAAAGCCACAAGAGTCTCCCTTCAGGCTGCTTACCGCATACCTCAAGGAGAAGGTATACATGCTAATAGTAATAATATGAAACAAAATAGAACCACTACCTGGGTGCAGGGAACGTGAGACATTATAGGGTTTATAAGACAGATTATTTACAGTTGGTCAGATCACAAAAGGCTTCATGGCGGCAGTGGCATATGGAGTAGATTCTAAATAGCAGGTGGGTGCTGGCGAAGATGCACAGAAATGGCTCTCACATCTTTGCTAGAGAGATCGAGAGATCTAGAGATTCACAGATATTCTCGGGACGTCTAAATATTAATTTAAAATGCTTGTGCCATGCAACCTTGTGATTTCAAAATCCAAGTAGATAATCTGAACACAAACTTGTTCGAAGTGTTACTTAAAGGACACTGGTGTTTAATGGAACACAGAGCAACCACCAAGACTTTGTGAACATCCACCCGATGCCAGCTGAGGGACTGGAGGGGTCTCTCAGATGTCTGATTAACATGCCCTGATTCTCCCTTCCACAATTTGTGAAAATGCAAATCTTTCCCATTAATTTTGTAGATTACCAAGAGCTCCTTTTCAAGTGCTTTTTTTCTGGCTATGCCCTGCCCAGGGCTGCCTTAATTCAGCTGCCATTTCCCTCAAGCATTTCATGATTTGCGTGATTGACTGTGGTTGTGCAAATCCTGGCCGGGGTTGGGATTGCGCAGTTCGGCTCCGTCTCTCACTCGCTCTTGCTTCCTTCCTCTACCCCCTGGAGCAACTGACAAATGATTCCCCACGCTCCTCCTCAGAGCTTTTTTCTTTAAAAAGGCAAGTTTTCCCTAAAAGGAATTCTCATATCAGTTGCTAATAATATACATTTCCCCTTGCATTATTATATGAAGAATTTTTTCATGACATGGGAAAATGCTTATGATAACATATCTCCCCATTCCCTTCTGAGCAGGGAAAAAGCAAGACACAATCTTGAAGCTATACCCAGGGTAGTGTCAACCATGTAAGACCATATGTATCAAGGGAAATTTAATCAACCGTAGCAGTGGCTAGCTCTGGAATTGGATGCTGGGTGATTTGTACTCTTCTAGACAAATTTGCTGTCTCTACCAAGTTTTCAGAGATTACCCAAAGATAGCGCATATTTGGAGCCCGGGTACCTGGGAAAATGGAAATTTTACTATTCAGAAAATGTTTTTAAAAAATCAAAACGCGGGAAGCAGCCAGTGTGGAAAGGGCTGCTGAGGTTTCCTTTCCCCTCCAGCCATGGGTGGTGAGCTTGCCGATGGGTGCTCCTGCCCTTCTTACCCTGCACTAGTAACTATTGCCTCGAATTGGAAGCTGGAAAGTTCAAACATTTGTAAAAGGCAGACCTCAGTATTCTGACTTCTCCTCCTCCTGTTGGCAGTCTGCCTCCATGACATACCGGCAGGATTTCTAGAAGGGCGCAGAAGGCACCAGGAGGGCGGATGAGGACCCTGTGGCCTGTGAGTATGAGTGTGGGTGTGGGGCACATCTGCTGGTTTCAGACCCCCTACAGGTCCCCAACTCACCTTCAGCTAGTACCTGCACTGAGAACTGCATTTTCCAATATAGATGGGTCCCCTTTTGGCAAACTGGCAAAACTCAGCGGGCTACCCAGAGAAAACGCTCCTCTTGCTACCTCTGTTAAACATTTAGCTTCTGACTAATCAATCTGAAACCATCACCCCACTGCAGCCTTTCTGCAGCTGACAGACTTGAATTCAAGAGGACGGGAAAGGGCTCCTAATATTTCCATCTGAAGCGATATCGCTGAAATTTCATAGACAAGCCTTGGAGTCATGCACATATCTTTCGGATGTCTCAGAAGCACAACAGCTATTCACAGCTCCTCTGAGAACAGACAGGGAGTTTGTAGGTGGGTTGTACTTGAATAAGCTTCTTTCTTCCCTTCCTCCCTCCAACAGCATGAAGCACCAGAATAACTCCCTGTTACTAATGTGCAAGAAGTTTCTTGTAGGTGGTCCATGCAGACACTATTCTTTCATTTTTTTTAAATCACTATAAGAGATCAGTTCTCTGTATGGAGGTAATTTCCTTCCTCCCTCCCTCCCTCCTTCCCTCCCTCCCTCCCTCCTTTCCTCCCTTCCTTCCTTTCTTACTGGGTCTTACTCTGTCTCCCAGGCTGGAGTGCAATGGTGCAATCTCGGCTCACTGCAACCTCCGCCTCCCCAGTTCAAGTGAGTCTCCTGCCTCAGCCTCCCGAGTAGTTGGGAATACAGGCACCTGCCACCACACCTGATTAATTTTTGTATTTTTAATAGAGACGAGGTTTCATCACATTGGCCAGGCTGGTCTCAAATTCCTGACCTCAGGTGATCAGCCCGCCCTCAGCCTCCCAAAGTGCTGGGATTACAGGGGTGAGCCACAGCATCTGGCCTGTATGCTGACAATTTCTTCTTGCACCTATGAAACTTATGTAGGGATAAGGTGGCATGGAGGGGGCAGTTAGGAGGGTTCCTGGTGGTTTGGGCTAAGGTGGTAGCAACAGAGAGAGCAAGAAGTGGCGACATGTCTTAACAGACCACATTCTCAGACTTCATTGTCAGTGACGACATTAAACATGAGGTTGATAGAGCCACTTATATAGCTGGATGTGACAGCTGTGATAACTATGTCTGCGTCTCATCACTAATATTCAAAGCTATTTACTGAGCTCAAGAAAGCAAAATAAGACACGAGCCCTATCCTCAAGTAGCTTACAGAACCTAGGACAGAAGTTTTGCCTATGACCAGGTAGAACAAGTGCCATTTGAAAGGCACAATTCAGTGGGATTCAGACCCTCCAAACGAGGACGATGACCCCTGACAGGGGTAGCCAGGGGTGCTTCCCTGGTGTGGGTGAGCAAATGTGGAGAGGAGGCCTTCCTAACCAGCAGAGGTCTGTGGGCAGGACAGGAATGGCTGGGGATAGGGAAGTGTGCAGTGTCCTCAAAAGGTGTGAGTGCTGATTCGGGCTGGAGGGCAAGATTCACAAAGGAGGAGTTATTGGGAGGGAAAGCTTGAAGGCAGATTAAGATTAGTTTAAGGAAGGCTATAAATGCAAAATTAAAGGGTTTATTCTGTGGGCTGAGGGAAATGTTGAAGTTTTGGGGCAGGAGGGAGTTTATGATTGTCTGTAGGCAAGCAGATTAAAGGGGGCAAATCGGGACGTGAACATGGAGCTCGGTCGCCCATCTGCTGCCAGACAGGAAGAGAGTAGATTCTAAAAACACTGTGGGCATCAAGCCACATTGTGATCACCTAGCTGAACATGAAGGGTGAACAGAGGAGAGAAAAGAGAACTAGAGGATGCTGACATGTAATGACTAGGGGAGTTGGGAGTTGCAGTTCATTTCTCTCCAGTTGAATTTCAGGTGCTTCTGGCACAGGAGGGTCGAGGTGGCCAGTGGGCACGTGGAGATGCATAGCTAACACTGGGGAAAACCAGACTGGAATAATTCTCTGAGCCTTCTTTTTAGAGACAGCAGTCAAAGCAATGGGAGTACATGAAATTGCCGAGAAAAAATAATGAAGAACTAGAGGAGGGAAGGAAAGGGGGAAAGGACTCATCTTATAGAAAACCCACAGCTAAGGGGAGAAGGAGAAGGTTACGCAGGGGAGTGATCGGAGTGTGGTTGATAGCTCTGCTCTGTAGACCTTTAATTTGTTTGGAACTTGGTGCCACCCTGATATCATAGCTGACTTGCTAATCTTCCAATGACCTCCAGCTTGCTTGTCTGGGTACCTCGCTCCTTTACTGGACGTTATGATGCCCAAGTAACAGAATACTGTTGCTGAGAAAGATCTTTTACAAAATCTCCGTTGTACAATTAGGTCCATGAGCTCGTTCATTTTCAGATTCTTTTTTTAAAATCAGACTGTAGTTTTGCATTGTGAGTCTTTCAGGTCTCTATAAATAGTATTTATGTCTTCATGGCTGAGGATCTCAAAGATATTCAACAATATTTGAATCTTAGGCTGGAGGACATTTTGGTATTCTTTGGTCAGGAATAACATTTCCTTTTATGAATAGCAGCTTTTAGGGATTATATCATGATATACAAATAAAGAGGCCTTCACCTGACAAATAATCCACCATTTGTGCATTGTGTACAGAACACAGTGACTGTCAAACTTGACATGCTTCCTGTGTAGAAGAGTGTGGTAGAACCTGAGAGGAGAGAGGGTTGGGGAGAAAGAACCCCAGCTCAGATGGTGCGTGTGATTCAGACTGCAAATCAGGGAGGCTTCGTGGCATGCGGCATCGGTTGCACCGGGCCCATACTGAGCTAATGCCCTGCTGGTGAGTTTTGAAATTCTTAATACTTTTTGAATGAGGAGCCCTGCATTTTTAATTTTTGCCGGGCACTGCATCTGACCTAGCCAGTCCTGCTGCAGAGCTTAACACATGTCTGACTAATAATCAGAGAGGTCAATGGGGTCTCTCTTAGAAATAATGTCTGAAGTGGTTCTATAGGTCCTGCAAGCTGGGACTGCAGCATGTGGCCCCATGGGCTTCCCCGACGGTGGTTCACTGGGGGCAGCCTGGGAGGGCAGGCACTCTGCAGACGGTAGCGCTGGGAGCTCTACCTTTGAGGCCACTGTCTGAGCAACAGCTGCTCACTCTGCATGGCCAAAGAATTTAGCTGCAAAAATCTAATTTGAAACTCCCTAATTAAACTAATGAAGTCAGAGCATTTTAATCTGTTCTTGGTGCAGCCCTGTGTCTAATCCCAGAATAAATAGATAATTGTGACTTAGTGGCATATGTGTGCTGTTTGTGTGCTGCTTTTTTTTTTTTTCTTTTTTCTTTCTGTGATATGCAAGCCAGGCAACATCTTTATATCCTTTTTTTAAAGCTTGGGAAAGGAACTGATTTTCTTTAGCCAAATGCGATGTTTAAAACAAAGGAAAGTTGTAGTGCCTTTAATATCAATCACGCATCTATTTTACCATCCTTCACTGACAGCCATAAACAAGTCATGCCCAGTAGTCCCTATTCCTGAAAGATCCTATTTGATCCTCAAATTTTTTTGTTTTAAAGAACGCTCATGAATAATAAATGCTACCACACAGATGTCGCCTAAAGAGACAGGTTGGGAAGTGCAGACTGAATCTTGTCTCTCTCCTTTAGCCTCGCATTCTGTAGATGAGGAAAATTCACTGATTAACCTTCAAACTATATCACATTATTTCCCTGAGACACATACATCTTCATAATGTTGGAGAAGCTTATAAAATCCAGAGACTAATGGGTCTTTCTGTTTAATCCTTCCATCTTTCTGCCCAACAAAAGTGTTCTTTATTAAATATTTCTACCTCTTTTTTTTTTTTGAGACAGAGTCTCACTCTGTCTCCAGGCTGGAGTGCAGTGGGGCGATCTTGACTCATTGCAACCTCTGCTTCCCAGGTTCAAACGATTCTCCTGTCTCAGCCTCCCAAGTAGCTGGGACTACAGGCATGCACCACCACACCCAGATAATTTTTCTATATTTAGTAGAGATGGAGTTTCACCATGTTGGCCAGGATGGTATTGATCTCTTGACCTCATGATCTGCCTGCCTCGGCCTCCCAGAGTGCTGGGATTACAGGTGTGAGCCACCATGCCTGGCCTCTACCACCTTTTCAAATAACTGAAATGGAGTCACTCTTTCCCCCTTCAGAATTTATTGATTTATTTCCTGAATCTTTCAAATATTAATCCGAGTGTTAGGCTACTTTCTTTTTTTTTTTTTTTGAGACGGAGTTTTACTCTTGTTACCCAGGCTGGAGTGCAATGGCGTGATCTCGGCTCATCACAACCTCCGCCTCCTAGGTTCAGGCAATTCTCCTGCCTCAGCCTCCTGAGTAGCTGGGATTACAGGCACACGCCACCATGCCCAGCTAATTTTTTGTATTTTTAGTAGAGATGGGGTTTCACCATGTTGACCAGGATGGTCTCGATCTCTTGACCTCGTGATCCACCCGCCTCGGCCTCCCAAAGTGCTGGGATTACAGGCGTGAGCCACCGCGCCTGGCCCTACTTTCTTTTTTTGAGATGGAATCTCGCTCTGTTGCCCAGGCTGGAATGCAGTGGTGCACTCTCTGCTCACTGCAACCTCTGTCCCCTGGGTTCAAGCAATTCTCGTGCCTCAGCCTCCCAAGTAGCAGGGTTACAGGTATGCGCCATCACACCTGGATGTTTTTTGTATTTTCAGTAGAGATGGGGTTTCACCATGTTGGCGAGGCTGGTCTCGAACTCCTGACCTCAGGTGATCCAACCACCTCAGTCTCCCAAAGTGCTGGGATTGTAGGTGTGAGCTGGGATTATAGGTGTGAGCCACCACACCCAGCCCTCAGATTCTTTTACGAAGGAAAAATCTCTGTGCTGCAGCCTCTCACTATACCTCTGGCTCAGCTAAGTACTAAATGGAAGACCACTGAGAGAGCAAGGACAGTTAGCACACTCCATCTCTACTGGCAGAGAGGAATAACTTCTCAAGTGAATGATGACTATTTATTATGCCCAAGGCTGGCTTCTCCAACCAGGGGACACAAAAGTCCGCAAAACACAGACCCTACCTAAGGAGGGCTTATGGACACATTACAAATTTTCTTGATGATAAATTTGTAATTTACAGATTTCATTGATAGGATGTGACCAACCACCTCAATTTGCTGAAACAGAGAGATTTCCCAAGATATGGGACTTTCAGCTTCAAAATCAGGAAAGTCCTTGGCAAACCAGGAGGAGTTGGTTACTCTACTAATAAAAAAATAAGTAGTATTATTGTGTATGTGGAAAAGAAAATACAGTACACAGGGCCAGCCACGGTGACTCACACCTGTAATGTCGGCGCTTTGGGAGGCTGAGGCAGGATAACTTGAGTGAGACCTTGTCTCTAAAAAAAGAAAGAAAGAAAGAAAACACAGCACACAGAACCCTGTTTGTGGGGCCTCTGTCTGAGAAAACACACGGCTTTTGTGGACCTTTCTGTGTACACCCCACGAACATGGAGGCAGAATGAGTTACCTGGTTCAGTGACATGCTCAAGACGCACACCTTGAGCTCTGAGTTCCTAAGACTCAGGTGAATAAGGACCAACTCAGGGAAAGGTAGGCTCTACAGGAGACCTTCCAGAAGCCCTGTGGGTGGGGAGGAGAAGGGAGCTGCCCACATGGGAGGCAGTGCTTTGGGAGGACCCCCTGGGAGCATGCTTTGACTCTTCTCCCTTCTCTGTGTTGCTGGACTCCCCACAACCATCCTGTAACACCTGACTTTCAAGTGTCACCCCACAACACTGACTCCTCCAACAGCAGGAGCAGGCGCCACGGCTCTGCTTGGACTCCACTCTAGCCTCGCCCGGCCACTCTGGGCTCACCCTGCCGGTGACCCCAGCAGCAACGTCCTCCCTGTACGCTGCTGTCCTTTGTCTGGGGTCATTGGATATAGCTCAACAGGACAGACATGCTGTAGAAAGCAAATTTTATACCAGAGAAGCCTTTGAAGTTGGAAAACATTACAGTAGATGGAACTGGGGCTTTTCATGAAGCCCGTGAAGAAATGCCGGAAAACTGGAAGAACAGAGAGACAAACAGCTTCTCTTTCCTTTTGTCTTTATTTTGATATTTGTTCTTGAACAGTCCCTTGTTTATTATCCTAGGGGCGTGTATTCCTTCCCCATGATGATGTCTACTTCAGAGCCAAAATGTGAAATGAGACTCATTGTCCACTGCAGATGTGCTGCTAGAGGCTGGCGGGGCGCGGTGAGGGAGGGAGCTGAACCCATGACAAAGGGATGCTCTGTGTGTTGTTTACCATGACTTTCACGAGAGTCCAGATGGGGAGCTGTACACTCGAGGTCTGAAATCCACAACAAGGGAGATTCTAGGGAGAGAAGAGGAGAATGCGGTTGAGCTTGGAGAGATGAACTGGATCGGAGTTCAAAGAAAGAGGTAGTACTTCACCGTGGGCAGGGTCATTTGATGAGCTGAGAACAAGTGCTTGCTCTTGGGCAATTAACACATAACAGTGTCTTCTGGAGACAACAGATGCTGAATCTTATTACTACTTAAGCTGATTTAAGATTTATATTAGCTTGGTTTAAGTGTGTCACTAGAATAACATTTTTTATTTCCATTTTAGTTTTGAGGTTGAATTGGGAACAATTATGAAAACAAGGATGAAATTAATTTCTTTATAATCTCTCAGTAGTAATGTGACATCAATCTCAACAGAGCTCGTATTGAAGAACTATTTGACTCAAAAACAATTGTACGTCAGGCACTAAGTTAGTCTTAGAGAATTAACAAAGGGATCTCCAGGTAAAATAAGCACTCGATTTAATTTTATTCCTTATTTTGTTGTCTTCATTCCTGACTGGGCTGAAAACTTCACAGGAACAGGGATCAAATCTGTCTGTACCCCTTATTGCCTTGCACAGTGCCCAGCAAGCATACAGTAGCCACTCAATAAATACTTATTGAATGTGTGAATATATGAATCAACGGAGTTCAGATGAAGCATGATCTCTTCCTTTAAATTGTGCAGTCTCATAAAGAAAACAAATATAATCTTTAAAAAATCCATACAAAACAGACTGAATTAATTGACAAACAGATAACCATATTCTTTCATTTTATTCACTCAACAAATATTTATGGCCATGTAAATATTACATCCCAGGACTTTGGGAGGCCAAGGTGGGCAGAGCACTTGAGCTCAGGATTTTAAGACCAGCCTGGGCAACATGGCACAACCACATCTCTACAAAATGTACAAAAATTATTCAGGCATGATGATACTTGCCTGTAGTCCCAGCTGCTCTGGAGGCATATGAAAAAATACTCCACATCATATGTCATATGTCATCAAGGAAATGCAAATTAAAACAGTGGTGAGATGCCACTACATATTTATTAGAATGGCTAAAATCCAGAATGCTGACAACACTAAATGCTGACAAGGATGTGGAGCATTAGGAACTCTCATTCCTTGCCGGTGGGAATGCAAAATTGTACAGCCATGTTGGGAGACAGTCGGACAGTTTCTTACAAGACTAAACATATTCTTACCATACAATACAGCAATTGTAGTCCTTGGTATTTACCCAGTGAATTAAAAGCAATACATTTATGTCCACACAAGAACTTGCACACAAATGTTTGTGGCAGCTCTATTCATAACTGCTAAAACTTGGAAGCAACCAAGGTGTCCTTCAGTAAGGGAATAAATTGTGGTCCATCCAGACAATGGAATATTATTCAGGACTAAAAAGAAATGAACTAAACTAACAAGCCATGAAAAAACATAGAGGAACCTTAAATGCATATTACTAAGTGAAAGAAGTCAATCTGAAAAGACTGCATAATATATGATTTCCAACTATATGATGCTCTGGGAAAGTCGCAACTATGAAAAAATAAAAAATGGGAGGAGGAAGGAATGAATAGTTAGAGCCAGGATTGTTAGAGCAGTGAAACTACTCTGTATGGTGGGTAGACTACAATGGTGGGTACGTGTCACTGTACCTTTGTCCAGCTCCATGGAATGCTCAATACCAAGGGTGAACGAATGTCAACTATGGACTCTAGGGAATAATGATGTGTCTGTGTAAGCTCATCGATTGTAAAAAATGCACCATTTTCTTATGGGATGTTGATAGTAAGGGGTGGTTTGGTGGGGTGGGGGTTCAGGAGGTATATGGAAACTCTCCAGACCTTCAACTTAATTTTCTGTGAACCTAAAGCTACTCTAAAAAATAGTCTACTAAAAATGTATAGTGAGGAAAGGAAAAC